CTTCTATTTTTTTAAATAATTTCAGAAGCATAGATATTAATGCTCTTTAAATGTTTGCTAGAATTCACCTGTGAAGCCATCTAGCCCTGGACTTCTGTTTATGGGAATTTTCTGATTACTGATATAATTTCATCACTGGTAATTGGTCTGTTAAAATTTTCTATTTTTTCCCCCTGATGTTTTGGGAGCTTATGTTTCTCAGGATTTATCCATTTCTTCTAGGTTGTCCAATTTGTTGGCATGTAATTTTTCATCGTATTCTCTTATCCTTTTTCTTTCTGTGATGTTGGTTGTTATTTCTCTTTCATTTCTCATTTTCTTTGAGTTCTCTCTCCCCCCACCCCCCCCCCTGTCTCTGTCTCAATGAATCTGGCTAAAGTTTTATCAATTTTGTTATATTTTCAAAGAATCAGCTCCTGGTTTCATTCATCGGTTCTATTAGGGTTTTTTAGTTTCCATATCATTTATTTCTGCTCTAATGATTATTATTTCCTTCCTTCTACTGGTTTTGGGTTTTGTCTGTTGTTCTTTTTCTAGCTCCTTTAGGTGTAAGGTTGGGTTTATTGGAGATTTTTCTTGCTTCTTGAGCTAGGCCTGTATTGCTTTTAATGTCCCTCTTAGAACAGCTTTTGCTGCATCCCAAAGAATTTGGGCCATAGTGTTTTCATTTTCATTTGTCTGCGTGTGTTTTTTTTTAATTCTTCTTTGATTTCTTGGTTGACCCAGTCACTGTTTAGTAGCATGTTATTTAACCTCCCTGTATTTGTTTTCTTTCCAGATTTTTTTTCTTGTGGCTGATTTCTACTTTCATAGCATGGTCGGAAAAGATGCTTGGTATGACAGCAAACTTTCTGAATTAGTCGAGGCCTATGAGGCCTAACATGTGGTCTATTCTGGAGAATGTTCCATGCACACTTGAAAAGAATGTGTATTCTACTGTTTTAGGATGGAATGTTCTGAATATATCTGTTAGATCCATCTGGTGGAATGTTTCAATCCAAACCACCCCTTCCTTGTTGATTTTCTATTTAGATAATCTATCCGTTGTTGTAAGTGGTGTGTTAAAGTCCCCTACTGTTATTGTATTATTATCAATGTTTTTCCTTTATGTTTATTATTAGCTGCTTTGTGTAGGCTGCTCCCATGTTGGGTACATAAATATTTACAATTGTTTTATCTCCTGTGGGATTGTTCCCTTTATGTAGTGTTATTCTTTGTCTCTTGTTACAGTCTTTAAAGTCTCTTGTCTGATATAATTATTGCTACCCAGTTTCTTTTCACTTCCATTTACATAATAACTGCTTTTCCATCCCTTTACTTTCAATCTGCAGGTGTCTTTAGTGCTGAATGAGTCTCTTGTAGGCAGCATGTGGATGGGTCTTGGTTTTTTATCTATTCTGTCTCCCTATGTCTTTTGATTGGAGCAGTCAGTACATTTATATTCAAAGGTAATTTTGATAGGTATGTACTCATTGCCATTTTATTACTTGTTTTACTGTTGTTTTTGTAGTTCTTCTCTGATCCTTTTTTCTCTTCTACCATGGTTTGCTGGCTTTCTTTAGTGATATACTTGGATTTCTTTTTATTTTTTACAAATCACTGGATTTTCATTTGTGATTACCATTAGATTTCTATATAACATCTTGTGCATATAGCCATCTATATTAAGTTGATGGTCGCTTATCTTTAAACCTATTCTAAAAGTGCTAAATTTTTACTCCTCTCCCCCTGCACCACATCTTAAGTATGTAGTGTCATAGTTTACATTCTTTTATTTTTTGAACCACTTGATTGGTTTTTACAGGTACACTTAATTTTACTGTTTTTGTGCTTCCTTCTTTTCTTATTGCAGCTGATGGTCTTTCATTCCACTTAAAGAATCCCCTTTAACATTACATGGAGAGCTGGTTTAGTGGTCATGAATTCTTTTAACTTTTGTTTGGGGAACTCTTTATCTCTCTTTCTATACTGAATGATAGCCTTGCTGGATAGAATATTGTTGGTTGCAGGTTTTTCTCTTTTCACCACCTTGTGGTGGCTGCTTGCACATTGCCACACTTGTGGTGCTAGTTGGGATAATACACCTGTGGGAGGTGTGTTGGAGGGAGTGAGTCCACAGGAGAACTCGAGCATGAGGCACACTGATAGCAAGGTAGGTGGAGAGTGTTGGACTTGTGCTTGTTCCCACAGATATCCCTGTATCTAGGCTGGGGGGCAGGCAAGGGAAGTGGCACCTGGTAGCTCTTTTGTCCTAAGAGAAGTCTTCCAAAGATCCCCGGCCCTCCGGCATACACGCTGAGATTAGTAAATAAATCTCTCCATATACTCCAGGCATCTTTCAAATTGCTGCATCTCAGAGAGTCTGTTGTTTGTGCTGTCTCCTTAAAGGAGGGAGCTCAGTTTCCCACTGCCCTCCTGGCTCTCCCAGAGCCAAGCCCACTGACTTTTAAAGTTCTAGGTGTTAAGCCCCACTGATTGTTAAGAACTCATGAAGTTAGGCCCCTGTAGTTTTCAAGGCCAAATGTTATCAGGGATTTGTCTTCTCAGTGTGAGTGCCCTGCACCTGGGGTGGCTGCCGTTAGCTCTGCTCCTCTCCCTTCTGTGTCCTGCAGCATCCCTCCCTCACATGGACCTTCCTGCAGTTTGGCTCCTGACCTCATCTCTATGTGGCCTCTTCTCCGCATTAGCTTTGGAGAATCTGTTGTGCCAGTCTTTGGGTCATTATTTACACTGGGTGTTATCTAGGTGTATTCATGTGGCGAGGTAAGCCTGGGATCCTCCTCCTCTGCCAGTCGCCCAGTCTTAATTTTGAAAATCTTACCAAGTTGGTGGTAACATGAAATCATTTATTCATGTATATCCAGATCTCTAGTCATTCTGTTCATGTTTATTGAGTAACTAGTATATGTACATTCAGTAGATGTACATACATAGAAGTACATTCTATGTAAGTACATAGTATACATTCAGTATATGTATATACATAGTATGTACATAGTATACATTCAGTATATGTACATAATAGAAGCATTCAGATATTTTGAGTTGGGGTGGAAGGGTGGGTTTTCCTGGTGTGTCTCACATTTACCACCTAGCCTGAGTGGAGTTATAAATAGATGTTCTGGGATCCAAAAGCATGATTATTTTGAGTCTGACCTGCTGATTTGCCTCTTAAGTCCCTTCCTTTCCTCATGTTTGGCAATTTTATCTCTACCTACAAATTCTCCACCTCCACTTACTAGAATCAGTTATAATCTGAGAAAGGAAACTTTCACCTGGTTGCAACCATGCTTCCACACAGCCTTTGCATCATAATCCTTATCAGTCTGATGTGAAGGCTGCATTAATGCCCCGAGGCTGCTGTAGCAAAGCCACCACCTTTTTTAGTCCAGCTTTGTAGCAAGTCTTGAAATCAGGAAGAGTGAGTCCTTTAACTTTTTTCTAATTGTTTTAGCATTTCCATTATTTTTAGGATTGGTTTGTTCAATTCTTCAAAACAAAGGCATCTATATGCATAAGGAATATTGGTCTATAGTTTTTTTGTGATATCTTTGTGGCAGCCAAGGAATAAATCTGATTTTTAAGAAACCTATAAAATAGAGAAAAATTATAACACACTACTCTGGAATGAATTTCTTATCATTAAAGTAGCATTTGTAAAGATTAAACAACATTTCAAATCAAGACATTAAAAATCAGTGTTAACCATGGGGCCTACGTGGCTCAGTTGGTTAAGCATCTGACTCTTGATTTTGGCTCCGGTCCTGATCTCAGGGTCCTGAGATCAAGCCCCATGCTGGCATGGAGCCTGCCTGAGATTCCCCTCTCCGCCTTTGCCCCCTGCCCACTTCCCCCCCCCAAAAATAGCATTAACCTAAATTATGATAGAAAGTAGAAGAAAATCATCTTAGCAATGAAGACTTAATTACATTATGCTCAAATAACAGATTTTTTGGGGGGAGGCGTCCATCTCTTTATTCAGGATTAATTTCTGGAAGTGGAAGCTCTGGGCCCAAACCCAGAATATTTTTATTTTAATTGATATTCCTAACTTAAACTCTAAAAGGGTTGTATTAATTTACAAGCAAAAAATGCTATTTCTTTGGATACTTAACAATCCACGTCTTTGCTAACACGACAGGTAAATTGTATTAATTTTCATTTTTTAATTCAGTGAAGTTTAATTTAGTTTCCAGCTTTGTAATTTTGGTTTCTAGCTTTATCCATTTGCAATTCATTACCTTTTTAATATCTAATTTTAGCCATATGCTTGTTATTAGATTACTCATTTTTGTATAGAATAGCCTATTGTTCTATCATTGTAACATCCCATGGAATCTCACTGGAGATTGGAAACAGAGTTTTTAGGTCTCAGACCTTCTCTTTTAACCATCAAAAAGGTAGCGTCCTACCTGACTCTTTACTATCCCTATGAAATATATCAGAGTTCTCAAGTTACCAGATTCCCTGAGTGAACAGAACTTTTTTTCAGCAGTGTGATATGCATAGAGACTCAAAGTCCCTATTTTGATATAATTTTCTTTTAATATCTGAGTTCTAGCTCTTCTATTTATAATAAATTTCTGACCTTTGGACAAATCTGTCTAGTCCTATCTTCTTAAGTCCTGGTTTCAAATTATGCTATCAGGGGATTATCTCACCTAGGCTCTTGGTAGATATGCTACCCTAGGCAGGTGCTGGTCCTTGACAGGCAACACACAGTTATAGCAAGAAATGTTTCACAAATGGTATCTGATATGGTCTAGTTAAGATTAATCTTAACTATAGCTTAATTAAGATTAATAAAATCTCATTCCTTAGAAATAATTATCCATTGACCTAAAGTCAACCAAAGTCTTTTTTCCCCTAATATTAAAATATATAATTGTTTGGAGGGCAGGGGGAGCAACTAACTTGAAATAAATCAGAAAACATCTTCACATTAATCATTCTTCTCATATACTTCAAATTTGTACTTAATGCCTTTCTCCTCCTGGACATCAGAAAGAACACCTGGGTATTCTGGCAGAAGTTTGTTTCTCCAAATCAATTTCTTGAAAAAATATGTCACTTTCAAGTTCCTGCATAATCCTTGTCACAAATAGTCTAAGATGGCCTGGCTTGTTCATGGCTTCCTTATGAACAGAACTGCCTCCCGCTATCCAAACCATGTCCACTTTATTTGCTAATTCTGATTGCTCAATAAATTTTAAGGCATCATCCAGACTTTTGCCAAGAAAATGAGCTCCTTGTGGAGGTTCCTTGAGGTCTCTGCTGAGAACTAAATGAATTCTGTCCTTTAAAGGTTGATTCTTCTTGGGAATAGAGAACCATGTCTTCCTACCCATAATCACCAAATTCTGTTTACCTTCTACTGATGAGGTTGTGGTCATTCTTTGGAAAAACTTGCATTCATTCCTGAGGGGCCAGGGCAAGTCCCCGTTCTTGCCAATGCCCATGTTCCGGGACGCAGCGGCGATGCAGTTTAACCTACGAACCATGATAGGAATCATGACAGCAGCTGTAAACACCTCCCAGCTAGCTCACCAAACTGGGATTCCCCCCACCGAGCTTGGCGCAAAATTCAAGAACAGATTTAAGTGAATATATTGACGGACTTTGAGGAGGATAATGAAAACAGCCTAGGGAACTGAAAACAAAGAGGTAAGAAGGATACAAGAGGAAGTAAGAGAGATGGAAGATAGGGAAAGAATAACCAATAGAAGAAAATCAGCAAATTATTTTTTTAAATTCAGGAGAACTTTTTAGAAATAAAAGGTCTGAATCTACACGTTAAGAGTCCATCGTATACCTAAGAAAACTGAACTATAATGTTCAAGTTTGAGTCCTAGCCTTACAAACTACTGGACTCTAATACAAACTATTAGACTCAAAAATTCATTTTACCTGGAGGCTCCAGGTAAAAATCTAGATCACTTGCCAGACTGATTTTTGTTCTTTTGTTATGCATGTATATACACACATCCTGCTGTGGAGCTGGGTTAATAGCAACTATTGCAACTATTTCACTTGCCACTTACCACCCTGTTTGGGAGTTGAGCATTTGAGTGCAAGAGGTAAATCACAGGTCTGTTCTAATTCCACGGATGTGGAAATATTCTTGGAACTAAAGGTATGTTTTTCTTTCACTCCCTGGGTTGCATAAAGAGTTCTTAAAACCTTTCACCTTGCCATTTTGTTTCTTTTTGTCCTTACTTAGACATGTTCTAGCATGTTCTACTGTTCAACAATGATTTACACTGTATGCTGCTACATCATTATTTCTTTACCTTCATACTCAATTTGTTGGTGATAGTAAAATTCACTTCAGTAGCCCCACGTACACACACCTTTTTTCCTCCCTTCCCCCCTCTCTCTCATCCTTCCTTCCTTTGCCTTTTGGAAGTGTCTGATCTGCTTCTGCTTTCTTGGAGTATCTTAACTAATTTCAGTGGCACTGGTTTATAATGAATCAAGTGGATTAAAGTTTGGTAATTATTCATTGAGTACTCAGCAATAAAGGCATTTCAGAGAATGCAGAAACTATTTTAAATATAGGGCACATAAGCATATGAGATTTTTCTGATGTAAATGTTACATACCATTGTTCTATTGTTGTTTGTTTTGTTTTAATTTGGATCTCTGCTAGTTGAAACTACACTGATAAGAATATCGTACATGAAATCTGAGTAAACAATACAAAACATGGAAAACGTACAATACATGATGGATGTTATAATCAGGACAGGCAGCAAGTAATAGAGGGCTAAGCAGAAAGGCCATTCATGCTGCTTGAAAGGTTAAGCATTTGTTTGACAGGAGAGTGATATTTTTAGTTCAGCCTTGGAGGATAAGGAGAGTTTCACTATATAGTGTAAAGGAATATAGCTTCTAAGGCAAGAAACCAATGCATAGGGGTATTAGTGGAGGGTTCTTTGAGACTGTCAGGAAAGATGTGACAAAAAAGCAATAAGAGGCTGGGAAGCACTGTAGGCTGAAGGCAGAGCTGAAGAGGTTAGATGTTATCCTTCCTCTGAAAGGGACCATCAGAGGTTTTCAAGCGAGGGAACGGGATGATTGGATCAGAATTTTAGAAACATTTTTCTTGAAGTGGTGAAGGGGGTAAATGATGGAGAGAGAGAGACTATCAGAAAAAGTCATGAGAAGAAGTGGTCTACCCAAGTAGTCTTCAAACATTTTTGCTCATGAAGTCCCTAAAAAATTTGAAAAACAATGTTCCTCTTCACATATTTTAAGTTGAGGAATATGTTTTTATCATAAATTTAAATAATGACAAAAAGTGCAATTTTCAGGGGAAGGAAAGATAGCGGGGGAGTAGGGGACCCTATTCCAACTGGTCCCCAGAATTGAGCTGGATATCTACCAGACCACTCTGAGCACCCACGAAACCAGCCTGAGATGTAAGAAGATCTGGAGCTCTACAAGCAGAATATCGCAGGCGGTTGGTTTCGAGGTATGAAGCGGGGAGCCCTGATTCTGCGGGCAGATATCGGAGGATAAACGGCAGCGGGTGGGAGCCTGGCCATGGGGATCCTACACTGCCAGTGAGTGACAGCCTCACGCGCTGGGGACTGGGCACAGACTCGCAGACCGGAAAGGACTTTAGGACAGCCCCTGGGGTGGAAACCCGGAGCTGCAGGGTTGCTCATGCAATCCATGGGTGGCTGGCGGTTTTAGAAGCACAAAGGGCAGAGATGTGCCCTGACCTGAAGGCAGGACTGGGGGCACTGTGGAGGGGCGCCCGATCCAGGCTGCTGCAGTTTATAGCAGCATGGATAGAAATGGAGACAGTGTGACCTGGAGAGCTCACTGAAGAACAGACTGTGATCTCTCTGCTCTGAGGCAGAGGGTTGGAAACGGTCTCTTCTGCTCTGACTTGCGGAAGAGACACGGAAAGCCACCAGGGAAAGAGAACAAAAGCCCCCAAAACTGATTCCCGCTGAGCCGATCCCCCGCCACAGGGGGTCAGGGCAACTCCGCCCAAATAGGGTTGCCTGAGTAACAGCGCAGCAGGCCTCTCCCCCAGAAGACAGGCTGGGAAAACAAGAGGCCAGCAACCCTAAGGTCCCAAGAAAATAGATGCATCTTGCTTGGGTTCTGGTCAATAATTTGGACTCTATACATTCCCTCAAACACCCATCAACAGAATGACTAGGAGGAGGAACTGCCAAAATAGAAAAGTCTCAGAGATTATGACTTATGCTGCAGATTTACAAATGGATGCAGATATAACCAAGATGTCGGAGATGGAATTCAGGCTAGCAATTGTGAAGACAATAGCTGGAATGGAGAAATCAATTAATGGCAACATAGAGCCTCTAAGGGCAGAAATGAAAGCTGAATTGGCAGAACTTAAAAATGCTATCAATGAGATCCAATCCAATCTAGATAATCTAACAGCTAGGGTAACTGAGGCAGAAGAATGAATAAGCGACCTGAAAGACAATATAATAGATAAAAAGGGAAAAGAGGAGGCCAGGGAAAAACAACTCAGAATCCATGAAAATAGAATCAGAGAAATAAGTGACACCATGAAGCGTTCCAATGTCAGAATAACTGGAATCCTGGAGGGAGTGGAGAGAGAGAGAGGACTAGAAGATGTATTTGAGCAAATCATAGCTGAGAACCTCCCTAATCTGGGGAATGAAACAAACATTCGTGTCCTAGAGGCAAAGAGGACCCCTCCCAAGATCAAGGAAAACAGGCCAACACCCCGGCATGTAATAGTAAAACTTGCAAATCTTAGAACCAAGGAAACCATCTTAAGGGCAGTTAGGGGGAAGAGATTCCTTATGTACAGAGGGAGGAATATCAGAATAACGTCAGACCTATCCACAGAGACCTGGCAAGCCAGAAAGGCCTGGCGAGACATATTCAGGGTACTAAATGAGAAGAACATGCAGCCAAGAATACTTTATCCAGCAAGGCTGTCATTTAGAATGGATGGAGAGATGCAGAGCTTCCATGACTGGCAGAAACTGAAAGAATATGTGACCACTAAGCTGGCCCTGCAAGAAATATTAAGGGGGGTTCTATAAAAGGAGAAAGACCCCAAGAGTGATATGCAACAGAAATTTACAGGGACAATCTATAAAAACAATGTCTTCACAGGCAACATGATGACAATTAATTCATATCTTTCAACAATCACTCTCAACGTGAATGGCCTAAATGCTCCCATAAAATGGCACAGGGTGGCAGATTGGATAAAAAGACAGGACCCATCCATATGCTGCCTACAAGAGACTCATTTTGAACCTAAAGATACATCCAGACTGAAAGTGAAGGGATGGAGATCCATCTTCCATGCCAATGGACCTCAAAAGAAAGCTGGGGTAGCAATTCTTATATCAGACAAATTAGATTTTAAACTAAAGTCTGTAGTTAGAGACACAGAAGGATGCTATATCATTCTTAAAGGGTCTATCCAAAAAGAAGATCTAACAATTGTAAATATCTATGCCCCCAACATGGGAGCAGCCATCTACATAAGCCAACTGTTAACCAAAATAAAGAGTCATACTGATAACAATACGTTAATTGTAGGAGACCTCAATACTCCACTCTCAGCAATGGACAGATCATCTAAGCAGAAAATCAACAAGGAAACAAGAGCTTTGAATGATACACTGGACCAGATGGACCTCATAGATATTTACAGAACATTCCACCCTAAAACAACAGAATACTCATTCTTCTTGAGCGCACATGGAACTTTCTCCAGAATAGACCACATACTGGGTCACAAATCAGGTCTCAACCAATACCAAATAAAGATTGAGATTATTCCCTGCATATTCTCAGACCACAATGCTTTAAAACTGGAACTCAATCACAAGAAAAAATTTGGCAGAAATTCAAACACTTGGAAGCTAAAGACCACTCTGCTCAAGAATGTTTGGGTCAACCAGGAAATCAAAGAACTTAAACAATTCATGGAAATCAATGAGAACGAAAACACATCGGTCCAAAACCTATGGGATACTGAAAAGGCAGTCCTAAGGGAGAAATACATAGCCATCCAAGCCTCACTCAAAAAAATAGAAAAATCCTGAATTTACCAACTAACTCTACACCTTAAAGAACTGGAGAAAAAGCAACAAATGATGCCTAAGCCACACATTAGAAGAGAAATAATTAAAATTAGAGCAGAGATCAATGAATTAGAAACCAGAAACACAGTAGATCAGATCAATGAAACTAGAAGTTGGTTCTTTGAAAGAATTAATAAGATCGATAAACCGCTGGCCAGACTTATCCAAAAGAAAAGAGAAAGGACCCAAATTAATAAAATTATGAATGAAAGGGGAGCGATCATGACTCACACCAAGGAAATAGAAACAACTATTAGAAATTACTTTCAACAACTATATGCCAATAAACTGAGCAATCTGGATGAAATGGAGGCCTTCCTGGAAACCTATAAACTGCCAAGACTGAAACAGGAAGAAACTGACAACCTGAATAGGCCAATAACCAG